ATGGGGCCTTCCTCTCTTCCTACTTCCCTCCACCTTCCCCAGCATTATCAGTTTTTTCCAGAGTCCTCTCTTCTCATGAGGTGTCATCTTGGCTTCTAGGGATATCTCTGGCTTAATCTGATCTAGGAACCACTTGTCCTTTTGCCTGTCCTCAGCACTCTTCTCCAGCACCACATTATCTCTAATGCATTGATTTTCTTCCTATCATCTTTCTTATCTGTCCAGCTCTCACATCCATACACTGTAATAGGGAATATAAATGGCTTGTATGATTCTAACTCTTGTATTGAGTTAGATATCTTTGCATTTTACAATCTTTTCTAGTTCTTTCATACCTTCCCCATTCGTAATCTTCTTCTGATTTCCTGACTACAGTCCCGATTTCTATCAATACTTGATCCCAGGTATGGGAATTCTTTTACTATTTCTATTTCTTCATTGTCCAGGTTGAACTTCTGAAGGTCCTCGGTGGTCATTATTTTTGTTTTCTTTATGTTCAGCATTAAGCCTGTCTTTTCACTTTCTTCTTGGATCTTCCTTAGTAGGTGTTCCAGGTCTGGGAGGTTTTCTGCTAGTATTATGGTGTCATCTGCATATCTTAGATTGTATGTATGTGTATATATGTGTATGTATGAAGGTAGCAGAAATAGAATCAAGAGTTTAGCCCAGGGGTAGGCAACCTTTTTGAGCTGGGAGCCGGGTTGCTGTCCCTCAGACAATTGGGGGGCCGAAGCACCAAAAATAAATAAATAAATAAAGATAAAAATAATTTTAAAAAAAATTAAAAAATTAAAAATATGCATGCACACTCTCTCAGCCCCAGAAAAGCCATGGCAAAACCCCTGTGGAGATTTTGCCAAGAAAACCCCAAGAACAAGTAATAACAACAATAATCAATATCATCATGGCAGGCGGCGGTGGCGGCGGCAGGACCGGTCTGGGGCCGGTCCAAAGGCCTCGGGGGGCCGCATCCGGCCCCCGGGCCTTAGGTTGCCTACCCCTGGTTTAGCCTTTAAAATATGGTTTTTAATACACACACACACTCATGCAACCTGTGAGCTATAAAAATTCAATTATCAATTTGCTTGGGCAATTCAAGGAGGACAAAAGTACTAACTAGTGAAGCACAGCTATCTATATTTATTGATACAGCTATATACAATTCTACAGAACTGGGTGATCTCAATAAACAGAGAGAAAGAGAACACAACTCTTACAGGATTCACACATCATTTATACTTTTTGGTAACAGCATTTGAGAGAAATGGTCAATATTTGAATTCAACACACAAATAAATGTGTATACATAAATGGATGTATACATGTGTATGTGCATATATGTATACATATATATATATATATATATATATATATGAAGCTAGTAGAAATAAAGTCAAGAATTTAGCCTTTAAAATATGGTTTTTAATACACACACATCCTGTAACTGAAGTTCTTGAACTCTATATAAACCTCAGAGATAAATTATTGGACTACTCCTCCCCCCCTTCTTGCAAGATTGTAACTAATAAATTGGAAATTGCTGCTTCACTTGTTTTGTCCTGGCTAATTTGATTGGGTACTTTGGTTCTTAGAAAAAATGATATTCCACACAGAGCACCCCCAACAGATGGCCTGTGAGATACAGTTTTCTAAGTACCAAACCAAATTAGTCAGGACAAAAGGAGTGACGCAGCAATATCCAATTTATTAGTTACAATCTTGCAAGAAGGGGTGTCCTAGGCAAGTCAACATACACCTCAAACTTGACACAGCAAGTTTTTAATCCTTTTTCCCAGAAGTATTTTTCCCTCCGCTGTGTGACTTTATTGGCTGAAGTCATCAAAAAGTGTACAACAAATCCCGAACACCTAAAATGTATTCCACCTACTCATCCCACCTACTCAAATTCAAACTCCCCTTACCATTATTTACAGACCTCCTCCTAAGGTACTTGTTTGGCTTAATTTTAACTATAGTGAAAGCTATGCAATTGACAGAAACTTGAACTGTGATTTCAAGCCAAAGGCTCATTGTTAACTGTTCATCCTCCCTTTCATGTTTGCATTATCTATCTTTTAGCTTGTTAGCTATGTTTGCCTAGAAAGCTTCTTTTGCCAGCTGCAGAGCTTCTGTCTGCCAAAAGAGGACTGCATCCATCCAATTAGTGTTCTACCTTCTCTACAAAGTTTGTGTGGAATTCAAAAGATAACCACATTTTTTTACACCCTGGAGTCCAAAAACTCTTTTACAGGATGCGTGTGTTTAATGTGTGCATTTTAAAAACCATTTCTGCCTTTGTATTCTAGAGGCCCATCTAAAGTCTAAACTCTTGATTCTATTTCTACTAACTTATTTGTGTGTTGAATCCAAATATTAACCATTTCTCTCATGGCCATCCATCCTGTATTTGAAAGCCTCCAAACAAGGAGACTCCACTATACTCCGAGGCAGCGTATTTCACTGTCAAACAGCTCTTACTGTCAAGAAATTCCTCCTAATGTTGAGGTGGAATCTCTCTTCCTATAGCTTGCATCCATTGCTCTGGGTCCTATTCTCTGGAGCATCAGAAAACAAGCTTACTCTATCCTCAATATGACATCCCTTCAAATACTTAAACAAGGCTATTGTATCACTTCTTAACCTTCTCTTCTCCAAGCTAAACATACCCAGCTCCCTAAGTCTCTCCTCATAAGGCTTGGTTTCCAGACCCTTCACCATTTTGGTTGCCCTTCTCTAGACACTCTCCAACTTGTCCACATCCTTTTTCAATTTTCCCCAGAACTGGACACAGTATTATTCCAGATGAGACCTGATCTTGTTCATAAGGTGCCACTACAGAAGGGGTGTGAATTGTGTGACCCGCCAGATGTTGTTCAACTCCAACTCCAGGCAATATTAAGAAAAGCATAGCCAGTGGTGAGGAACGCAGGGAGCTGGTTCAATATCACATTGCCCATCCCCACACTAGGCTCTTGAATCATGGTTTTCGCTGTGACAGACGTTATGGCAACTCTGTTCCTATTAACTGTTTATATTATTATTGTTGTTAGCTGCCCTCGAGTCAGTTCCGACTCATGGCAACCTGTGGATGAGGCATCTCCAA